GATCCTCAACCTCACAGGCAAAGTTTCCTCAAGTATAAAATAAGGACAATAGAACCCTCATTTCATCATTCAACAAGCATTGATTTAAGACTGTTTTGGCCAGGTGTGGTGGCTCATGCCTGTAATCCCAGCACTTTGGGAGGCCGAGGCAGGCGGATCACCTGAGGTCAGGACTTTGAGACCAGCCTGACCAACGTGGTGAAACCCCATCTCTACTAAAAATACAAAAATCAGCCAGGCATGGTGGTAGGCACCTGTAATTCCAGCTATTCAGGAGGCTGAGGCAGGAGAATCGCTTGAACCCAGGAGGTGGAGGTTGCAGTGAGCTGAGATCGTGCCATTGCACTCCAGCCTGGGTAACAGGAGACTCCATCTCAAAACAAAACAAAACAAATACAAAAATTAGCTGGCCTTGGTGGCACACTCCTGTAGTCCCAGCTACTTGGGAGGCTGAGGCAGGCTGATCATCTGAGGTCAGGAGATGGAGACCAGTCTGGCCAATGTGGTGAAACCCCATCTCTACTAAAAATACAAAAATTAGTGCTTGAGAATCACTTGAACCCGGGAGGCAGAGGTTGCAGTGAGCCGAGGTCATGCCTCTGCACTCCAGCCTAGGTAACAGAGTGAGACTCCATTGCAAAAAAAAAAAAAAAAAAAAAAAAAAGACTCTTTTAACTGTGAGGCATTGGTACATAAAGATACATGTATCTATAAACACACAAACACATATACACACACATGCGCACATATACACACACACTTCAGGGAAAACATGGCATCATGCTGGTCACTAGACCTTCTACATTCCAGGTGGAACAGTTGCATCTTCTCTCGTATGCTTGACCAGGCCATGAAGAAAGACCTAAAGATACTGACATTAGGGGTTACCCAACTATAAGGTCCAACTCAGTTGGAACCAGCCCCATCCAGCCCCTCAGAGCTTCTGATCAGTTTGCTAGGCTCCACTCTTATATATGAGCAAACAAGTGAGGATTATGACACTTTAACGTCTCTAATGAGAAAGATACAGACAAAAACAAACAGAAACAAATGAACAAAGAAAAAGAAGATACCAGGCAGGGAGAAATTTTAAATGATCACTGATATTCTCAAAGGAAAGAGAGGTATTTCAACCATTATTTTAAAAAAAGATAATTATATATGTATATGTATATGTATGTGTTACATAAACACACATGCATCTATTTCTATATATATGAAAGGAAAATACAGAAAACAAATGAAAAATCTCAATAAAAGGTTTAGAAAATAAAGATGTGGGCTGGGCATGGTGGCTCACGCCTGTAATCCCAGCACTTTGGGAGGCCGAGGAGGGCAGATCATGAGGTCAGGAGATTGAGACGATCCTGGCCAACATGGTGAAACCCTGTCTCTACTGAAAATACAAAAAAATTAGCTGGGCATGGCAGCGCACACCTGTAGTCCCAGTTACTCAGGAGGCTGAGGCAGGAGAATTGCTTGAATCCAGGAGGTGGAGACCGTAGTGAGCTGAGATTGCACCACTGCACTACAGCCTGGGCAACAGTGCGAGACTCTATCTCAAAAAAAAAAGAAAGAAAGAAAAAAAATAAAGATGTGAGGATTTCCTAAAGAAAAAAGTTTATTAAAGAGCAAAGGACAGACAATAAAAAATAAGACAACTTGGCTGGGCACGGTGGCTCACACCAATAATCCCAGCACTTCGGGAGGCCGAGGCAGCGAGGTCAGGAGATCAAGACCATCCTGGCCAACATGGTGAAACCCCGTCTCTACTAAAAATACAAAAATTAACTGCGGTATGGTGGCGCGTGCCTGCAATCCCAGCTACTTGGTAGGCTGAAGCAGAAGAATCACTGAATCAGGGAGTCGGAGGTTGCAGTGACTGAGATCACATCACTGCACATCAGCCTGGCGAAAGCAAGACTCCGTCTCAAAAAACAAAAAACGAAACTTGCAAAGTGGTAGCTTAAGACTTTACAATGCTTAATTTCATCTAATTAATTAATTTATTAGAGATACAGTCTTGCTCTCTCAGGCTGGAGTGCAGTGACACAATCACAGCTCACTGCGTCCTCAAACTCATGGGCTTAAGAGATCCTCCTGCCTCAGCTTCCTGAAGTAGCTGGGACTACAGGTTCATAAAAACAAGCCTGGCTAATTAAAAAAAATTTTTTTGAGATAGGATCTTGCTCTGTCACCCAGGCTGGAGTGCAGTGGCGTGATCTCAGCTCACTGCAACCTAACCTCCACCTCCTGGGTTCAAGTGATTCTCCTGCCTTAGCCTCCCCAGTAGCTGGTATTACAGGCGCTTGCCACTACAGGGGGCTGATTTTTGTATTTTTAGTAGAGACAGGATTTCACCATGTTAGTCAGGCTGGTCTCAAACTCCTGACCTCAGGTCATCTGCCCGCCTCAGCCTCCCAAAGTGCTGGGATTACAAGCGTGAGCCACCAAAGCCTGGCAGATTTTTAATTTTTTTTTTTAATAGATTTGGGATCTGGCTATCTTGCCCAACTTTGTCTCAAGTTGCTGGCTCAAGTGATCCTCTTGCCTCAGCCTCCCAAAGTGCTGGGATTACAGGTGTAAGCCACCATGCCCAGCCTACAAATGCTTTTGTGGGAAAAGTAAATATGAAACACTTTCATATGCTACCAAAAAGAACTACATGCTTGAATTAAATGTAGTAAGTAATATTAATTTCTAAAAAGACTAAAATTGGTCTGTGCCATGGTCTGATCTGCCTACTGCCTATGGAGTTCGATTTTCATTTCTGTTTTTTTTTTTTTTTTTAAAACAGAATCTCATTCTGACACCTGGGCTGGAGTACAATGGCCTGATCTTGGCTCACTGAAACCTCCATCTCCCGGGTTCAAACAATTCTCCTGCCTCAGCTTTCCAAGTAGCTGGGACTACCACCCTGCCCAGCTAATTTATAAATTTCCAGTAGAGATGGGATTTCGCCATGTTGGCCAGGCTGGTTTTGAACTCCTGACCCCTCTCTGCCCGCCTTGGCCTCCCAAAGTGCTGGGACTACAGGTGTGAGCCTCTGCACACCCGGCCTCCCTTTTCATTTCTGAAGATTGGTATGTTTGGGACAATTTATTTCTTTAGAGGAGTGACAATGCATGTGCCATCAAAAGCAAACAACAACAAAAACCACTTGCTATTATTCCACAGCTGTCCTGTGCATCACAATATTAAAATCTAAAATTAAGCCATGATGTATTAATTGACTAAATACATTTCCAATTATACACAATGGTGTCTTTAAAAACCGGCATCTGTGGCCATGGCTCACACCTGTAATCTCAATACTTTGGGAGGCCGAGGCAGGGGGATCACGAGGTCAATAAATCGAGACCATTTTGGCCAACATGGTGAAACCCCGTCTGTACTAAAAATACAAAAATATTAGCTGGGCGTGGTGGCGCATGCCTGTAATCCCAGCTACTCAAGAGGCTGAGGAGAAAGAATCACTTGAACCTGGGAGGCAAGGGTTGCGATGAGCCAACATTGTGCCATTGCACTCCAGCCTAGACAACAAGAGTAAAACTCCATCTCAAAATAAGTAAATAAATAAATAAAAATCGGCATCCAATATTCATCCTAAATCTAAATAATGCTCTGCAGGCACATACAACAAATGGTACTCCTGAGAAGTGGTATCCAATAATGCCCAATTAAATTGGGAGAAATTAATGGATTGCTAAACTACTCTCAATGATGCTAGATCATGTTAAACAATACACTGGACCTGGTGCATCAATACATTCTGTCATATCACCAAACTGCTGCAACAGATTCATTTTCATTGACAAAGAGAGAGTACTTCTTTTGAATTCTCTGAAGACACAAAACGCCTGGACGCTTCTGGTTTTATAAGTTTAATTGGGAGAGCCAATAAACCCTTTTGTTCAGCAGCCTCCCACATTCTTCCATTCCCCACCAAAAAAAAAAAAAAAAATCACATATACAACTTAAGAAAGTAAACTGATAACTTTCCTATAAATCAAAAGTTGTAAAATACTAAACTTTGCCAAAGTGAATAGGAGGAAATATGCTGAAAAATGTAGGGTGCATTGGAAGCTCTTAAGAATAAAAAGTTTAAGTAAAACTAAACATGAAAACTAAATGGAAAACTTGGCTACCAGACATTTTCATTGGTTTCCTGATAGAAACCTACAAATGTTTACTTCTCCAACTTTTTGAGACTGCAGTATGAACACCCACAACAGAAACAGTTTAAAGTGGCAGATCTATGCACCCAGAATATTTTTGAATGTATTTTTCACTAACAAAACATTTTGATCAGATATAAAGGACCCTAAAGACTGTGTTTTCATTTTCCTGTAAATTACTATAGTTTGAATTATAATATCCAACTTAAAGTGTTTCACCACTGGCATTCTTTACGGAATCACTGAAAATCATCACTTCAATAGCGAAATATAAAATGAAGGATATTCAAGTTAGATCCCTGTCACTTATTTCAGCATTCAGGGCCATCATTTTTTGTGATCGTCACAAATTTTCAAAAAAAAATTAAGTGCATGTAAAACAATATGTTAATATTCAAAGACTAAAGCTATGGGGTAGAGGTTTCACTTAAACTACAGCAGCTCAGCGTGACAAGGGGAAACGTTTGAACACTAGAAAATAAAATTCACCCTTATCCCTCTCCCTCTGTAAAAGAAAATTATTCTGGGTTATATAACAAAAATAAACCTTCCACCAGAGATCTTGGAAATCTTGAATTTTTTTTTTCCTGCAGGAGGATTTATTATTTTCCACTGAGTGTCCATTCATGCGTTTTCTTCTTGTTTCTATTCATAGCACCCGATCCTGACTAGCATGCACAACCTCAAAAGAAAAGAAACACTAAATACAAACTGTGTAAAATTAAATAAAATAAAGCAAAATAAAAAGGCACACATTAAGAGTGGGTACCCTTGGGTTGGTGCCACAATGTCTACCTGTGTAATAGTTCTCATGGAACTCACCTTGTATGCAACACTATTAGATGAATCCACAATGATGAACAGGGGCTTCCTGGTGAAAGGATAGAGATCTCCAGGATGAAGGCTGGGAAAACAGCAACAATGAAGAAATGTTAAACTGTGTCAGCCACCTCTCAGAAATCTTATTCTTCAGTTTGGTCTGCTCATTTCTCCTTTGCATCATAGCACTGAGAGAAAAACAAAGAATAGTTACGCAAAGGAAAAAAAAAATAAATCTGTATTTACTGGGATAGCAAAGATAGCTTGATTTGAAAAAAAAAAAGTTCAGAGACAATTGTTACTCAAGAATATCTAAGCTAAAGAGAAGCCTATGTATTTAAACATGACAAACACACAGCATGAAAACCTCGGAAGTTGGCACACAGGTACCAGTTTCATATTTAAAAGCTCTTTGTAAGAACATCTGGAAACAAGATGTAATACAAAACCAGATTTGTATTTCAATGAGTCTTCAACATCTCTGTTTTAAAGATTTTTAATATTTCAAGCTACATCTTAATATTGCAGGTAGTAAGTATGAAAACATTTTTGTTTTGTTTTGTTTGAGATGGAGTCTTGCTCTGTCACCAGGCTGTAGTACAGTGGCATGATCTTGGCTCACTGCAACCTCCACCTCCTGAGTTCAAGCAATTCCCCTGCCTCAGCCTCCCAAGCAGCTGGGATTATAGGTGCACACCACCACACCTAGCAAATTTTTTGTATTTTAGTAGAGACAGGGTTTCCCCATGTTGGCCAGGATGGTCTTGATCTTAAGATTCACCCGCCTCGGTCTCCCAAAGTGCTTGGATTACAGGCATGAGCCACCACGCCTGACTGAAAACCTTTTTACTGTCACTTTTTTTTTTGTAACGACACCATCTTGCTCTGTGGCGCAGGCTACAGTGGAGTTGTATGGTACAATCTCAGCTCAATGCAAACTCCATGTACCACGCTCACATGATCCTCCCACCTCAGCCTCCTGAATAGTTGGGATTGCAGGTGTCTACCAACACACTCGGCTAATTTTTCTATTTTTAGTAGAGATGGAGTTGTTCCATGTTGCCCAGGTTGGTCTCAAACTCCTGGGCTCAATCTGCCCACCTCAGCTCCCAAAGTGCTAAGATTAAGAGCATGAGTCACTGCGCCTGACTATCTTTTACTATACTTTATGTTTCCTCTGAACAGCTGCATCAAGGGCTTGTTAAACGTGCAGTTTAACTGGGCCACAGAAGAGCTACTGAACCCAAAGGCTGAAGTCCAGTAACATCCATGTGAGAGCCACTGTGTAAGGTCAGAATTTTGGTGTGCATGCTGTCTTTCCTATGGTTAAGTACACGATGCCTGTATGTAGATAGATGCTAATGTAAATGTAAATATATAAATGTTTCAATGAGCAATATTAAACTGCATTATATTTCAAAAAGTTTTTCTTTTATTAATAAAAATTGTATATATTCAAGGTATACAACGTGATAACTTGTTAACGTATACATTACACAGTGATTACCATGATCAAATCTATCAACACCTCCATTCCCACACAGTTACCCTTTGTGTGTGTGAGCAGGGGTGGGGGTAGGCATAGAGGACATGTAAGCTTTACTCTTTTAGAAAATTTCAAGTAAACAATAATTTTTGTCGTTGTTGTTTTTTGAGATAGGGTCTCACTCTGTCACCAAGGCTGTAGTGCAGTGGCAAGATCATAGCTCACTGAAGCCCCAATCTCCCAGGCTCAAGTGATACTCCTGTCTCAGTCTCTTGAGTAGCTGGGATCATGGGCATGCACTACCATGCCTGGCTCATTTTTTTAATTAGTAGACACAAGATCCTGTTATATTGCCAAGGCTGGTCATGAACTCCAGCAATCTTCCCATTTCAGCCTCCCAAAGGGCTGGGATTATGGACATGAGCCACCACACTCAGTCCAACAATACTGTATGTATGTATATATGTATGTATGTATGTATGTATGTGAGATGGAGTCTTACTCTGTCGCCCAGACTGGATTGCAGCGGCACAATCTCAGCTCACTGCAACCTCCACCTCCCCGGTTCAAGCAATTCTCCTGCCTCAGCCTCCCAAGTAGCTGGGATTACAGGTATGTGCCACCACGCCCAGCTAATTTTTTGCATTTTTAATAGAGACAGGATTTCACCATGTTGCCAGGCTGGTCTCGAGCTCCAGACCTCAGGTGATTCACCCACCTTGGCCTCCCAAAATGCTGGGATTACAGGCATAAGCCACCTCGCCCAGCCAATATAGTGTTTTTAATTATTGTCACCATGCCGTACTTTAAATGTTATTTATCTTACAACTGAGAGGTTGCACCCTTTAACCAATATCTCCCTATTTTCCCCAGTCCTTAGCTCCTCATAACTACAGTTGCACTTTGCTTCTGAGTGCAACTTTTTTAGATTCCACACGTAAGTGATCATGCAGTATAGGTTCAGCATTCCTAATCTGAAAATCCAAAACTTAAAATGCTCCAAAGTCCAAAAAGGTTTTGAGAGCCAACATGATGCCACACGTAGAAAATTCCAAACCTGACCTCACATGACAGATCATAGTCATACAGGTGCACAACAAATAATTTATTTGGGATGTCAAAGGGAAAAATAAAATTACTTTCAGGCAATGTGTATGAGGTGTACATGAAACATAAATAAATTTTATGAGTCCCATCCCCAAGGTATCTTACTATCTACATGCAAATAGTCCAAAATATGGAAAAATCCAAACCCGAAACATTTCTGGTCCCACACATTTCAGATAAGGGACATTCAATCTGTATTAGAAACGAATTTTTAGACCAGTCCAGTTTTCTTTATAACCAGATTGCTCTCAGCTAGAGAAATTCTAAAGTCAACAGTGGCCCAAGCAATGAAGTTTTTATGCTTAAAAACAGAACGAACTCTGGGCATACTGGCTCATGCCTGTAATCCCAGCACTGTGGGAGGCCGAGGTAGGCATATTGCTTGAGGTCAGAAGTTCGAGACTAGCCTGGAACAACATGGTGAAAACCCGTCTCTACTAAAAATACAAAAATTAGTTGGGCATGGTGATGCATGGCTGTAATCTCAGCTACTTGGGAGGCTGAGGCAGGAGAATCACTTGAACCCAGAAGGCAAAGGTTGCAGTGTGCCGAGATCATGCCACTGCACTCCATCCTGGGCAGCAGAGTGAAACTCTGTCTCAAAAAAAAAAAAAAAAGAAAGAAAGAAAGAACTTTCATAGATGAAACGCTATTTTTGTATTTTTTGCATTTTTTCAAAAAGAATTTTTGTAGAGATGGACTCTCACTATACTGCCCAGGCTGGTCTCAAACTCCTGGGTTCAAGTGATCCTCCTACCTCAGCCTCCTAAAACTTTGGGATCACAGGTGTGAGTCACTGCTCCTGGCCTGAAGGTCTATTTGAAATCATGTAACAATATTCATTTGTGCTATATTAAACAAAAAAAAAACCCTTGTATTAAGAAATTCAGGCCAGGCACAGTGGCTCATGACTGTAATCCTAGCACTATGGGAGGCCGAGGCAGGTGGTTCACCTGAGGCCAGGAGTCCAGGACCAGACTGGCCAACATGGCGAAACCCCATCTCTATGAAAAATATAAAACTTAGCTGGGCGTGGTGGTGGCCGCCTGTAATCCCAGCTACTTCGGAGGCTGAGGCAGGAGAATCGCTTCAACCTGAGAGACGGAGCTTGTAGTAAGCCAAGATCATGCCACTGCACTCCAGCCTGGGTGACAGAGCAAGACTCCATCTTAAAAAAAAATTTCAATACTAGAGGCTGGAAAGGACAGAGGAAGGGAGGGATAGGGAAGAGATTTGTTAAAGAATACAAAATTATAGCTAGATTCTAGTGTTCTAGACCACTGAAGGATGACTATAGGTAATAATATGTTATATCGTTTTTATTTTCTCTTTTTTGTTTTTTTGACATAGAGTCTCACTCTGTCACCCAGGCCAGAGCACAATCTCGGTTTACTACAACCTCGACCTGATGGGTTCAAGTGATTCTTCCGCCTCGGCCTCCTGAGTAGCTAGGACCACAGGTGTGAGCCACCATGCCTGGCTAATTCTGTATTTTTAGTAGAGATGGGGTTTCATGTTGGCCAGGCTGGTCTCCAACTCCTGACCTCAAATGATCCACCCATCTCGGCCTCCCAAAGTGCTGGGATTACAGGCATTGAGTCACCACTCCCAGCCTATATTATATAGTTTTAAATAGCTAGAGGAAAGACATTAAATGTTCCCAACAGAAAGAATGGATGTTTGGGATCATGATTGGCTAATTACTCAGATCTGATTACTATACATTATAAGTATAGAAACATCATTATGTACCCCACGAACATGTACAATGATTATATTTCAATTAAAAAAAACTTCTTTTTTTTTTGAGACGGAGTTTTGCTCTTGTTGCCCAGGCTGGAGCGCAGGCGCAATCTCAGCTCACCAAAACCTCCGCCTCCTGGGTTCAAGCAATTACCCTACCTCAGCCTCCCGAGTAGCTGGGATTACAGCCATGTGCCACCACACCTGGATAATTTTTTGTATTTTTAGTAGAGACGGGGTTTCTCCATGTTCGTCAGGCTGGTCTCAAAGTCCGACTTCAGGTGATCTGCCCACCTTGGCTTCCCAAAGTGCTGGGATTACAGGCATGAGCCACCATGCTTGTCCCCAAAAAATAACATTAAAAAAAATTTGGGCCGAACACAGTGGCTCATGCCTGTAATCCTAGTACTTTGGGATGCTGAGGTGGGAGGATCAGTTAAGGCTAGGAAATCAAGACTAATCTGAGTGACAGAGCAAGACTCTCTCTCTAAAGAAAAAAAAAATTTTTAAGTTCATATTGATGTCATATGTATCACGTCCTGACATATTTATTTATGTATATATTTACTGTCTCCAACTAGAATGCCATTTTCTTAGCTGACATATCCCTAGTGACTAAATAGTGTGTCATATAACACTAAATAAAATATTTGTCCAATGAGTATCAACCAAAAATTCTAATTTCCTAGGATAGACAGAGCCTGAATTATTGCTGGAATCCAAATAAGTGTTTCCAGTCTGTCCCTAAATCTTAGTCTAAGGGAATCATTCTAGTACCAGAAAAAACTCCCCATTTTACTTAATATATTTTCTATATATAGACAGAGAAATAATTTTTAGAATAAGAGGAGACACAAGAATACATACCAGTGCATTTCCTTGTGGGACTGATTTCGTTTGTGGATGGCATCTCCATTAATAATATCCCGGTTACTATTAGTAAGTACACCTCCAAAATCATAAGGACCTATAAAAGCAAAGGGAAGAATCCTAGACTTCAGCTGAAGACTAACACTGACCTGATGTTCAAATACAAAAGTACTGTGTGAATCCCTTACTGATACAAGGGAAGAGAATTAAACAACATTTAAATTATTTTAAAATTTAACATTTTAATTTAATGGAGTATTTAAATTACTTCAATATGTTGTCAGTTTCAACACTTTAAAAAATCATTAATTATTCAGCAGTTCTTCAAACAGAACATAATGAGAAACAAAACAAGAATCTATGGAATCATTATTCTAAGTAATAAAAGAAATGGAGATCTGGGATGTTCAAAATGACCTTTACATTTCAAGCACACTTACAATCTCAGGTTTAACAATATTATTTTAATAGAAAGTTGGTCAGACTTGGTTGCTCATGGCTGTAATCCCAGCACTTTGGGAGGTTGAGGCAGGAGGATTACATGAGGCCAGGAGTTCCAGACCAGCTTGGGCAATATAGTGAGACCGTGTCTCTACAAAAACATTTTAAAAATTAGCCAAGCATGGGGGCAGGTGCCTATATTCTCGGTTACTCAGGAGGCTGAGGTGGGAGAATCACTTTAGCCAGGGAGTTTGAGGCTGCAGTAAGCTATGATCATACCACTGCACTCCAGCCTGAACAACAGAGTGAGACTCTGTCTCAGAAAAAAAGAAAGCTGCAAAATAAAATAATTTTTTTTTAAGAATGAAATCTTAATCTCTTAAGTAAACGTATTTTTTTTTTTTTTTTAAAGATGGGGTTTCACCATGATGGCCAGGCTGGTCTTGAACTCCTGACCTCAGGTGATCCATCCACCTCAGCCTCCCAAAGTGCTAGGATTACAGGCGTGAGCCACCGCGCCCGGCATAAATATAATTTTAAATGAGCCACTAACTGTAAAATTTAGGAAAACATTTGAATAGAATTTGAAAATTGTCATTCACAAAAACTTCACCTTTAAGAATGTTTTGCCAGATTTCAGCATGCAAAAACTCCATTATTATCACTATCATACGAAGTACTTTAGTTCTGGTTCTGAAGTTAGCCTTTTCCCACTAAATTTGTATGAATTAGCTAAACTCTTGTCTAAATGAAATAGCAACTGTGGAATGTCCAGATAATCTTTCTCAAAGGACCATTCAGCTATTACCTATCATACTTTGAAAAAAGTTAAAAAGTCATTATGTTAAACAGAGACCTAAAAAACTTGATTTAACAGTATATTAGACATAAAGACAAATATAAATTAAAGTTATTAACTTTATTATTATAAAACTAAAGTAGTTTAAGATTTTACATTACTTTTAATGTTGTATTATATTTCATTTCTTAAAAAAATTCACTGCAATGAAAAGACTAAAGAGATTTGTTTTGTTTTCATTTTAACATTTTAAGAGAATCTATAGGTCATGCAAGGAAGATGGCAAGGACATGCATTTATAAAGGAATGCAAATTTCAACAAACAAATGAAGAGGAAAATGTTAAGAACTTTTTTTTTTTTTTTTTTGGTGCAGACAAAGATTTAAACATCTTATTTACATCCAAGTTACTTATCTATTCTGACCAATTTCTGGACTCATATGTTATGGACATTTTTTTAAGTTTTTATTCTGAAACAGCATCCCGATATTCTACAGATTAAATCCATAAAACAAAATAAAGGACAGAAACAAAATCATGACAAGGGCTTGAACTTTCACAGTTACAAAAATACACTGATTTCTACAAAGACTTTCAGCCATCATGTAGCCATTGACCGGATTCCCCAGTGCACTGAAAGCTCAGAAAAATTCAAAGATGTGAAATAGATAATTAGGCTTGGTTATCCCATCATCCTTTTCAACTTCAAAACATCAAACTCCTTATGTATATCTAAATGTATTTATATATTATGCTTTTGATAAATTTGATAGTGAAGCATGCATTTAATATATGAATTTTCTGATGATTTATGGGCTTTGACAAACAACATTTCAGAAAGTATGACAGACTGGGGTATCTACAAAATTGCCAATCAGCAAGACCAGGTTTCAAATTTGGAAGTCTGTCTAGATAGCTTGAGATGATCTGTGGGCTATGGGCCATCGTCTTGTAGAAAATAAAGAGAATTCAAGCCCTGCTCACAACAGGGAGCATTCCTTTATTGTACCTTCACTATCAGAACGACCTGTGGGGAAAACGCCAGTGGCCGACAGGTAAATCAGAAGCACACTATTGGCAGGCAGCTCCTGAAATTAAAGAAAATCACATACACAAAACAACAAACAGGGATAAACAACATGGTTTTATTTAAAGTTCATGACATTTTAAAGTTGTGGGATAAATTAGAACACACTGCTGCCTTTTCCAAGGGAAGAGACCCTTCTTGGTTCAGACTTTAAAATTATATACACAGCAGGGATTCATTATTAATCTATAACTATCATCAAAAGTTGTGAAGACATTCTCTGCTTCAAAAACCCCATCATTTAGAGAATATTCTCTGAAAAGTTGAATGGAGAAGTAAAGATCCTGACTATATGGCTAAAGGACAAAGTCCCCTCTGCGGCTTTCTCTACATAGACTTTGGGAAGAATTCTCCTATTTCTCATAGTTCTGTCAGATGATCTAAATGTTTCAAGAGCTCCTTGAGTATAAAAGAGGCCTAGGCACTCTGCTTTCATTTTTCAGTTTGCATTGTTACACCTGAAATCGTTAAGCAATAAAAAACCGGAGGAAGGAAAACCACTATTCTCATTAATTAATGATGGGAACAATCACAACATCACAATAAATTTTCATTCCAAAAATGGCTATTTCACAGCTTACCAGGAGTAAAAAAAAAAAAAAGAAATGAAACAAAACAAAAATAGCTATTATCAGGATCGTTATTCTAAAGGCAATTTTTAATTTTTATATTTTACTTAAGCTCTTAAATATTTTTTTAAAAGAGTGACTCTTAGATTCTCTTAGGGTGCACTTTCACCTTATAGTAAAAAGTACTGGATCACACATACCTTAAAAGATGCTGCTAAGAAGGTATATAGTTGGCTGAAGGTTGGTTTGTAGAGCAGATACTTGTGGGGGTTTTCTCGTCTAGTAGGCTTGTCAGCTGATTCCTATATTTACACACAGAAAACATTATACATATATGCTGCATTTGACCAATGAATTATCAATGCCCTTATCAAGTATCAAGTAAGTCTTATTTTGACTCAGTCTTACTGTGATTATGCTTATCTATTTCTCCAAGTCTCATCAAAAGAATTATTTATTAAAGTTTGTAGTATTTATTGAATAATCAGCTGCATTCTGTGAGGAGAAGCAGCAGCCAGAGGGTCATCAAACTGGCAAACGTAAAAGAGAAGATTACCTGCATTCCTGGTTTATTCATCTGGGAAGCTAAATTCATTGGCTCCCTTTCCAGAGCTTGTAACATCCGGAACATATCAACAGTTAGTTCACTGAACTTAACCTGCAAGAAAAAAAAAAAAACAAAACACAACCTAGCCTTAATGCAACATACAGATTTTGAAATCTTTTATCACGTTACTAGTTTTGGCTTTCACAAGTACTTCAGGGCTTTGGGTACCTTTTTCTCTACTATTTCATTATGAAAATTTTCAAGCGATGGAAAGATTGGAAGAATTCTGTAGAGATATCCATATGTTCATTATCTAGATCCTATAATAAGCATTTTTTATATTTGCTTTATCACATACCTCTCCAGCCATATACATGTCTACTGATAAATAAACTTTCTCAGGTTTTTTTTTCAGTAGTTGTGAAAGCACAGAGGGGCTGAGCATGGTGACTCACGCCTATAATCCTAGCACTTTGGGAAGCCAAGACATGTGGATCACCTGAGGTCTCGAGACCAGCCTGGCCAACATGGTAAAACCCATCTCTACTAAAAATACAAAAATTAGCTGGGCCTGGTGGCGGATGCCTGTAATCCCAGCTATGCAGGAGGCTAAGGCAGGATAATCACTTAAACCTGGGAGGCAAAGGCTGCAGTAAGCTGACATCACACCATTGCACTCCAGCCTGGATGACAGAGTGAGACTCCATCTCAAAAAAAAAAAAAAAAAACAGAAAAGAGAGGCACAGATAGTATATTAGGTTCTACAAACATGCTAACTTCCACAGACTGGTGGATGAATTCACACGTGTAGGTAGTATGCTATGTGAGGGGCAAGTTTTTCACTAACACCACAAGGATCTCCAGCCCAGATTCTTTTTTTTTGTTTTTTTTTCCTTTTGAGATAGAGTCTTGCTCTGCTGCCCAGGCTGCAGTACAGTAGTGTAATTTCGGCCCACTGCAACATCGGCCTCCTGTGTTCAAGCAATCCTCCTGCCTCAGCCTCAGGAGTAGCTGGGATTACAGGTGTGTGCCATCACACCTGGCTAATTTTTGTATTTTTAGTAGAGACAGGGTTTTGCCATGTTGGCCAGGCCAGTGTCAAACTCCTGACCTCAAGTCATCTACCCGCCTCAGCCTCCCAAAGTGCTGAGATTATAGGTGTAAGCTGCCATGCCCGGCCTTCCAGCCCAAATTCTACACACAGAAGTTTGATAGCAATCCTTGCTACATGAAGGAAAAAGAGCTAACTTTTGGCAAATTAGCTATGCTGAAATACAACTGTGATCCATATTTGTGGTAATTTCTTCCATAGATTTTGGCCCTATACAATATTTAAGTCTGTATCTTTTTTTTTATTCAGACGGTCTAATTAATTCAAGTTTAAGTCTGTATCTTTTTCCAATTTTAATAATACTTATATAGAGCTTCAGGAATGCAGATGTTGAAACAGATGAGACTTTTTTAAAGTACCTATTTCTATCAAATAAAAAAAGAGGAATTATTTAGTTAAGATGAGAATAAGTTTATGAAGATTACTAACTGTACTTTCAAACATTTAACTCATTTAGTGTGTGTGTGTGTGTGTGTGTGTGTGTGTGTGTGTGTCCACTGGCTCCATAATCACCACCACCTCTTTACTTGAAGATATTATCATTACTCACTTAGATTACTAAAACAATTTCCTAACTGCTCTGCTTCTCCCATTCTGGCTCCAATCTGTTTTCCTAACTATAACCAAAATGATCATTCCAAAATTCTGGCCTCATCATGTTCCTCCCCTTGCATCAAAACTTTTGCTGGTTGTCCAATACACATAGGATACAGACAAATTACTTAGCATTCAGTATCAAGCCCTGTTAATACAGCCCTACCTATCTCTCATCTACTTGTAGTTTCCTTTGTTCTCTGGGTTGCAGCCAGTTTAGCCTTCTATTAATGTCTCATACTCACCATGCCCCCCCTCGGATTCCAGGCCTTGCCACGTGCTTTTCCTGATGCCTGGTATACTCTGCTTTTTTCATGGTTAACTTCTACTACCCTTAGTTCTTAGCTCAAACAGTTGTTCTCAGAAAAACTTTCAACAACTTCCCAAACTAGGTCAAATCCCTTGCTCGTAGACAGTTGAATCATATACTTCTTTTGTCACATTTGTTGATGTGGCTACTTGATATTTATCAAAGTGGTTACTTGATTAATGTTTGTCTTCACAACTAGATTCTAAGCTCCTTTAGGAAAGCTTATTGTTTGGGTTTCTTATTTTTTATATTTTTAGTTCTAATCATCCCTATTGCCCTGTACATAACTGGCACTCAATGAATATTAGCTGCATGAATGAATGACTCTTCTGCTGAACTTTACCTCTCATTACAAGTCATTAATAGATTAGCATCACAAGACTATACTTCAGGGATCACTTCTATAGCTCATTACTAAATTAGCATTATCAAATTCACACTTTCATATAAGGAATCAAAAAACCATCTCTATAACAAAAAGTTAAAACATAGCTTCTGTTTCCAGTGGCATAAAGGTATCCATCAACACTACCCAGTGAAATGCAGAGATAAGCCTGTAAGAGAGTAAGAGGTTTCACAAGAGGTGGAGATTAAAGAAGAGGAAGAGGTTTAAGGAGATAAGTGGGCACTAACGCCTTGCTTTCCTATAGTAAGGGTAGCATGGGGCTCCGGGCTAAGAACTGGTTGGATGGTTGGAAGACCAGCCCTCCCATACATATACCCATGCCCAAATAAAACTGGAAGCACAAAAAGATACAGCCTCAGAGGAGTACACTAGAAACAAATCTGCTCCACAGACATAAACATGAAAGAACTCTACCTTAGCCTTTTTTTCTGAGAAGAGATAAAGAAATGTCTCCCCTAAGAATTCATGGCCATATGCTGATTCTCATGTGGTTTGAAAACCTGAATTACCATTATTTGCATGGCTCAAAAATCTATAAGGTTTTTCACTTAAAGAGAACAAAAACTGATAGTGCCCCTAAGTTTTGCAGGGAAAATGCAACGCAGATCATCATTGGAAGAAGGCATCCTCAATTCAGGTCTTATAGAATTCTAGCTGATAGAATTACAACAAAGGAAACTCACAACCCAAAATCATAAAACACATGAAGAAAATAGGCACCTCTGATGCAGTTAAGAGAAACAATAAGAAACTCAAACAGGATGATACAAACATCATACATAACATGCAAAAGTCTAGGTGTGGCGGGTCACGCCTGTAATTTCAGAACTTTGGAAGGCCAAGGTGAGAGGATCATTCAAGGCCAGGAGCTTGAGATCAGCCTGGCAACATAGTGAGAGTTAGGGATATGCAATATACTGTTGGTAAAGGTCTAAAAAAGGATTCACAAAAAATTAGAAAATACTTTCAACTGAAATAAAATATAAAATATTATAGAAGGAACAGGATTAAAAAATACAAAGTATCAAAATCTGTAGAATGAAATTCAAGTAATGCTTAAAGAGAATTTTACAGTGTTGGATTTTTATTTTATTTATTTTATTATTTAGAGATGGAGTCTTGTTCTGCTGCCCAGGCTGGAGTGCAGTGGTGCGATCTTGGCTCACTGGAACCTCCGCCTCCTGGGTTCAAGCAATTTTCCTGCCTCTGCCTCCCGAGTAGGTAGGATTACAGGTGCATGCCATCATACTTGGCTAATTTTTGTATTTTTAGGAGAGACAATTTTACCATGTTGGCTAGGCTGGTCTAAAACTCCTGACCCTCAGGCAATCTGCCCTGCTCAGCCTCCCAAAGTGCTGGGATTACAGTCGTGAGCCACCATGCCCAGCCCAGGGATTTTTATATTAGATTAGACGAGGAAGAAGTTCTAAAGTCAGTTATTTGGCTGGGTGCAGTGACTCACACCTATAATCCCAACACTCTGGGAAGTCAGGGGCAGGGGAATCACCTGGGGTCAGGAGTTCAAGACCCAGCTGGCCAACATTGGCAAAACCGTTTCTACTAAAAATACAAAAATTAGCTGAGTGTGGTAGCACATGCCTGTAATCCCAGCTACTCAGGAGGTTGAGGCAGGAGAATCACTTGAACCCGGCAGGCAGAAGTTGCTGTGGGCTGAGATCATGCCACTGCACTCCAGCCTAAGGGATAAAGTAAGACTCTGTCTCAAAAATAAAAATAAAGTCAGTTATCTAAGCAAATTCAAATTAGGAAGAAGGAAATAAAAATAAGTAAGAATCAACAAAAGAGAAAAAATTAGAAAACAAAATCAATTTTTCATTTACTACAACATATCGAGGCTTATTACAATGCCATAATAATGAAGTCAGAAGTATCAGCATAATAGACATACAAACCAAAGGAACAGAATCAGACTCAAATATATTTGAACACTGGATTTATGGTAAAAGTGACACTACACTGTGGTAGGAAAAAATGGTCTTTTTAAAAGTAAATGTTGCTACATCTACTGGAAATTCAGAAAGAAAGTTTGACCCATACTTCACACTAAAATAAATCCCAAAGAGATCATAGATCTAAATATGAAAGGTAAAGTAAGCAACAATTTCTCAAAATAGGGCACAAAAAAGCTCTTAGAAGAAAGGAAAAGAATTATAAATTGGACTACATTAAAATTAAGGACTTCTGTTTACTGGAATCTCAGTACCTGGAACAGGGTCTGGCATAGAGTAGGCACTAATAAATATTTTAACAGATGTTTGGGAAAAAAAGGAGAGAAAGAGAGAGGAGATGTCAGAAGAAAGTAAAAGGCAAGACAAGAGTAGGGAAAAGATAGTTCAGTACATAAATCTGACAAAGGACTTTCACGTAGAATATATTAGAAACTCTTACAGATCAATAAAAAAAATTGGAACTGCTTAGTCATAGAGTGTGCATATATTTAGCTGTACTACATAATGTCTGCCATTTTTCTAAAGTGAATCTATCAATTTACATTTCTATAAAGTATGAAATATTCAGTTCTTGTACTACTTGCCAGGATACGCTATTATCAGTTTCTTGGTCTCTTTTGTTTTTAGACAACTGGATTAGTGATATCTCATCTGGTTTTATTTTATATTTTTCTGATTAGAAAAATTTTCTTTGAATTAAAAAAATAAAGTGAGAAAAATACCAAGTCTTCAGATAATATAACTATACAAACCATAAATATGTTTCAAAATTTTTCCATTTAGTATACTCATACACTAGTTTTTAAAATGTTGTAATGTAGACATTTGCAAAATAAGGGTCACAAAAGCCAAAAATGGAGAAATACGGTACCAGAAAAATCTAATAATAACAAAAACGATTGACAGATGCTAGGATAGGATCCAAAATTAAACTTGTTAAAAAACATAAGAAAAATGTATTTACTGGTGACTTTTTCAACATCCCATAATTTTCAGTAAATTTCATTTCCAGTGTGTTAAATCTCATCATCATGGGGCTATTCTGTCATTAAAAAACACTTGAAATTCACTTTTAAAAAATTTACACAAAAACAACCTCTGGCTGGGTGCAGTGGCTTACATTTGTAATCCCAACACTTTGAGAAGCTGAGACAGGAGGATCACTTGAGGTCAGGAGTTCAAGACCAACCTGGCGAACATGATGATACCCTGTCTCTACTAAAAATAAAAAAATTAGCCAGATGTGGTGGCATGTGCCTGTAATCCCAGCTACTCAGGAGGCTGAGGTGGGAGAATTGCTTGAATCTGAGAGACAAAAGTTGCAGTGAGCCAAGACTGTGCCACTGCACTTCAACCTGGGTGACAGAGCAAGACTGTCTCAAAAAATCAAACGAACAAAAAAAAACCACCAACTCCTCCTCATATCTTTTTGCTTGATTGGAAAGTAATATATAGACATTTGGAAACTTTTTTTTTTTTTTTTTTTTTTGAGACGGAGTTTCGCTCTTGTTACCCAGGCTGGAGTGCAATGGCGCGATCTCGGCTCACCGCAACCTCCGCCTCCTCGGTTCAGGCAATTCTCCTGCCTCAGCCTCCTGAGTAGCTGGGATTACAGGCACGCACCACCATGCCCAGCTAATTTTTTGTATTTTTGGTAGAGACGGGGTTTCACCATGTTGACCAGGATGGTCTCGATCTCTTGACCTCGTGATCCACCCGCCTCGGCCTCCCAAAGTGCTGGGATTACAGGCTTGAGCCACCGCGCCCGGCCGAAACTTTTTTTTTTTTCAGTTTTCTTTGAGACACAGTCTCATTCTGTTGACCAGGATGGAGTATAGTGGTATGATCTTGGCTCACTGCAACCTCCACCTCCCAGGTTCAAGCAATTCTCCTGCCTCAGCCGCCCCAGTAGCTGGGATTACAGGTACCTGCTATCATGCCTGGTTAATTTTTTGTGTGTTTTTGTAGAGACAGGGTTTCACCACGTTGGCCAGAATGGTCTTCAACTCCTGACCTCAGGTGATCTGCCCGCCTTGGCCTCCCAAAGTGCTGGGATTAAAGACATGAGCCACGGCGCCTGGCCAGAAATTTTTGAAACTTTACAGTGTTGTAAAAAGTAAAATAAAAATCACCTATAATTTGACTACTCAGAGATAAAACTTACCTATTTGTAAAATTTCTTCCTAGTCTTTATCCTATGTGTATACACATAGACATTCTAACATATATGAAATAATTCTGCTTACATGGCTCCATGGCAAGTTTATTTTCATTTACTGTATCAGGAGTATCTTCCTAGATTATTAAAAATTCTTTCTAAACTATTTAAATATCTGTAATATATTCCAGATGTGCACAGAGCATAATTTAATCAGCCATTTCCTCACAAGTGGATGTTAGGATATTTATAAGAAAATAATTCTGTGATCATCAATAGCACTATTTTCCACAGTGAATTTTAATCATAATCCCTTCACAATTCTTTACCTGATTATTACAATTACCAATAATGAGTGCATCAGCCAGAGACAACTGTCCCACAATCATGCCCTGTTCCAGCAATGGGGCTCCTGTTTCAGCAAGGCGATTTGATGTGATAACAATGGTATTATCATCATTTAGTACCATTACAGGGTCCGCCTAAATAAAAAAGCAATAAACAGTTAATAAATGGCTAAGACTATCAATATAATAAGTTATTCCTTCTTCTTGACATATAGACACAACAAAAACATAAACTACATGGTCATTTATTTATTGATAATTATGATCATTTATTTATCAATAATTATGATTTTTCTTTCTTTTTTTTGAGATGAGTTTCACTCTTGTTGCCCAGGTTGAAGTCCAGTGGATTGATCTCGGCTCAACCTATGCCTCCCAGGTTCAAGTGATTCTCCCGCCTCAGCCTCCCGAGTAGCTGGGATTACAGGCGCCCGCTACCACACCCAGCTAATTTTTTTGTATTTTCAGTAAAGACAGGATTTCACCATATCATCCAGGCTTGTCTCAAACTCCTGACCTCAGGTGATCCACCCACCTTAGCCTCCCAAAGTGTTGGGATTACAGGGATGAGCCACCATACCCGGCCAATAATTATGATTTTTCTTATTAAAACTGACCTCAATGAAAGCTGCTACTTCCTGAAGCACCAAGTTCCATTCTACTTGATCTTCAGTATTAAATCGGTGAGTATAATCTTCAATTTCATCTGACAATTCCTGATTTTAAAAATATCACAAAAAAGGTTATTAAAAAACCCATAAAAATACACAGCCATATAGAACCATTTTGCTGACAAAACTGACACACTTACAAAATTTGATTATCAATATGTAGTCCTGATTATAGCCAAAAACAAAGATGAAAACTACATAAATTTTCTTCAAAAGTCACAAACTTCAGAATAATACCCACCAAATGAAGTCTTCACAGAGATCTATTTCCTATCAATACTACATCAGCAATACATTAATTAATGAAAAATCAGAAAAGACAAATTCAAAACTTTAGCATTAAAAAAAAAAAATGAGGCTGGATGCAGTGTCTCACACCCATAATCCCAGCCTTTTGGGAGGTCGAGGTGGGAGGATCATTTGAGGCCAGGATTTCTAGGCCAGCCTAGGCAACATAGTAAGACCCTACCACTATAAAAAATTATATATTTCTAAAAATACTTCCTGACTTTATTTGGATTTATATTATACAGTGTTTTGGAAATATTTTTAATGGTAACTGGGTATAAAGGAAAGTAGAAAAGGAGTACAGAGGGCTACTTCTGGTGGCCTTGTCAAAACTGGCATGTTGAGCTGGGTACAGTGGCTCATGTCTATAATCCCAGCACTTCGGCAGGCCGAGGCTGGCAGATTGCTTGAACTCATGAGTACAAGATTAACCTGGGCAACAAGGTGAAACTCTGTCTCTACAAAAACACAAAAATTAGCTAGGAGTGGTGGCTTAAGCCTATGATCCCAGCTACTCAGGAAGTTAAGGTAAAAGGATTGCTTGAGCCAGGTAGGCAGAGGTTGCAGTGAGACAAGATTGTGCCACTGCACTCCAGCCTGGGTGACAGAGTAAAACCTTGTCCCAAACAGCTTTTCGTTGGTCCTTCTTCCAAACATGGAGCAGTCGATTAACATCACAGAGCGGAATCTGCCACATCTAGAAATGCTCAAGAACCAGCTGGACCAGGAAGTGGAGTTCTTGTCCACATCCACTACCCAGCCCAAAGTGGTATAGACCAGGTATGTGGAAGCCAGTGACTGACTGAACGGGCTGAACAAGAGCAACGAGGGGAAAGAATTACTCGTCCCACTGATGAGTTCCACGTATGTCCCTGGGAAGCTACATGATGTGGAACACGTACTCAATGATGTGGGAACTGGGTACTATGTAGAGAAGACAGCTGAGGATGCCAAGGATTTCTTCAAGAGGAAGACAGATGTTCTAACTAAGCAGATGGAGAAAATCAAACCAGCTCTCCAGAAGAAGCATGCCATGAAACAGGCTGTCATGGAAATGATGAGCCAGAAGATTCGGCAACTCACAGCCCTGGGGGCAGCTCAGGCTACTGCTAAGGCCTGAGAGTTTTCGCAAAAATGGGGCAGAGGGACACACTTTGGGCATGGCTTCCTAGTGCTGGAAAGGGAAGGGTCTTGTGTTAATGCCAATAAATGTGCCAGCTAGGTAAAACAAACAAACAAACAAACCCCAAAAAACCAATTGGTATGTTGTACTTGAAACAAAATTAAGTATGCCATTAAACCTATTGAGTACAGGGTGCAACCATAATTTAATATGCATTACAGGTATCCTGTGGATCTGAAGACAGTTAACTCTTAATCGCCTGAGTTAATGAAGGAGAGACTTGATACAGAAGCTCTAAAGTGGGGGGAAAACTAAAATCATTCCCAATGCCTTTGTAAAATGTTATGTGCTTTTTCTTGACATAATATTTCAATTATTTTCTCTTAAACTAAGTATTTTTGTTTGTTTGCATTCCAGCCATCCATTGATGAGCTTTGAAATGTAAAACACATAGAAGGGACAAAAGCAAGGAATCAAGATAATTATCTCAGATTAGTGTATTTGTAACATGAAAAGAATTGGAAAATTTTTTATCATTATCCTTGGCTGAAGTTAGTACACTTTGAATGTTGTCGTTATTTTGATATATCAAAATTATTTTAACCTAAAATCTAGTTTTAAAAAATAAGACTATCCATATACAATTAGAGATTAGAATTTTAACTATTTTAAAGTGCATTTACCTTTACCAGATCCTTTACAACATCCATTTTGTTGAGAAGAAGACAAACTACTATAAATCTTGCATAATATCGTAACTTCTTAACTACCAATTCAGGTCTATGGAAGATAAATGAAAAATTACTAATTAAAGAAAAGAATGCTTTTTGATTTTTCCAATTTTTTGATGGCTTTTAAAACTTTTTCCATCCTTTTTTGCACAAATATAAACATTTCCACACATAAACATACAATCTTTTTGAACATATTTCTTACTGATTAAGTTGTTTACTAATATATTCATTCATTCAACAAATATTTATTGAGAACTTACGTGCATCAGGTACTATGGTAAGTGCTAAAAGTACAATTGTAAAAAACTACAGATATTCCCTTCTTCACAGATCTTACAGACAGAAAATTATTTAAAATATACAGAAGAGAGATAAATGCTTAAAACATAATGGAATAATATAATGATAGAAGAAATAAAGAATGCTATTTGAACCCACAGGTCTAGATCTTGAGTGAGAAAATGTTTCCTAGAGAAAATAACAAATGTTTAAGAATCCAAGGGCCAGGTGAGGTGGCTCACGCCTGTAATCCCAAAACTTTGGGAGGTGGAGGTGGGCAATCGCAAGGTCTGCAGTTCAAGACCAGCCTAGCCAACATGGCGAAACACATATTGTATATACTAAAAATAGAAAAATTAGCCAGGCATGCTGGCTCATGCCTGTGATCCCAGCTACTTGGGAGGCTGAGGCAGGAGAATCTCTTGAACCCGGGAGGCAGAGGTTGCAGTGAACCAAGATCAGACCACTGCACTCCAGCTTGGGCTCCAGAGTGAGACTCTGTTTCAAAGAAAAAAAAAAAAAGAATACACGAAAGAGTGGAAGACTACAGGTAGGAAAATATGAGGTGAAAAGGATTCCAGGAAGAACGTTTTTTTTTTCTTAAAATCTCACTTTTCTGCTATTAATATAATCAAGCCAACTTTTTCATGCTTACTCTTTGTATGCCATATCCTTTTTTCATCCTTCTTTCAATTATCTATGTCCTTTTATTTAAATTCACATCTTTTGTGGGCAGTATATACTTAGGTCCTGATTTTCTGTCCGCTTTGACTATCTCTGTGCCTTTTACTTGATATGTTTAGACCAATTATATTTAATGTCATTATTGCTTTGGCTAGATTTATATCTACCACCTCGATGTTTCCTATTTGCTCCTTCTCTTGCTGTGTTGCTATTTTGCTTTCTTTTTGGTTAATCAAGTATTTTTTAGTTTCTGTTTTATATCATCTATTGGCTTCTTAGTTATACTACTTCTTTGTTATTGTTCTTTAAGTGGTTGCTGGGAGTAACAATATGCATCCTTTAACTTATTAAATGCCCCTTACAATATATTTTATCTATTCACACATAACACTTTACACTTACCAATTATCAATTCAAACCTGACTTCTCCTCCTGCTTTCCATATCCTACATCACAAATACAATAGCCTCACAACAGTATATTTTTTGTATGTGTTCAACATTTTCCATAATAAAAGTTTTTAAAAATTCTTTTGATCATGAGTTACTTAGAAATGTGTCTACTGATTGACCAACTTACTGAATTTTTTGTTTAAGAGATACAGTCTTGCTATGTTGCCCAGGCTGGACTTGAACTCCTGGATTCGAGCAATCCCCTTAACTCACTGACCAACTTATTGATTTTTTTGTTTAAGTGATGGAATCTTGCTATGTTACCCAGGCTGGACTTGAACTCCTGGGTTCAAGCAATCTTATTGCCTCAGCCTTCTGAGTAGCTGGGCTGCACGTGCAGCTACTGATTTTTTTAAATTATGTTTTATTTTTGTTTTTAATAAAATCGTACCATGGTTAGACATCATATACTTTATTGAACCTTGTATTAAACTTGTGTTGTGGCAAGTATCAGTTAATTTCACAAATTTTCATATAAGGTTGAAAATAACATATATTCTGTTATTGTTGCACACAATTTTAGGCACATGGGAAAAACTGTTACTCAAATCTTATAATTTCTTGTCTTCTTGATATATAAATTATTAAATATCATATATCAAAAATTCCAATGTACATTAGATCACTTATTAATTTCCCCACTTTAAAAAAATCATTTTGCTTTATTATAATGCTATGTTATTAGGTATATATAAGTTTATGATTTTTATATTTTCCTGAATTGTTCCTTTTATTATTACAGAGTAAACCTCTATCATCAATAATACTTTCTACCTTAAATACACACAGTATACACATAAGAAATGCATATATACATACACATTTCTTCCCCTTAGTAGCTGTCTCATTTATTTTTCTCTGTCCACCTTACATCTTTGAAGGATCTTTTTTTTTTTTTTTTTTTTCCAAAAGAGACAGAGTCTTGCCCTATTTCCCAGGCTGAAGTGCAGTGGCATCATCATAAATCACTGCAGCCTCAAACTCCTGGGCTCAAGCAAACTCTTACCTCAGCCTCAATAACTAGGATGGCAGGAGTGTGCCACCACACCTGGCTAATTTTTTTATTTTCATTTTTTATAGAAACCATGTCTTCCTATGTTTCCCAGGCTGGTCTCAAACTCCTAGTCTCAAGCGATCCTCCCATCTTAGACACCCAGAGGATTGGGATAACAGGTGTGAGCCACCACTCTTGGCCTTGAAGAGTCTCTTGAAAACAGTATATTATGCCGGGCACAGTGGCTCATGCCTATAATCCCAGCACTTTCGGAGGCCAAGGCGGGCGGATCATCTGAAGTCAGGAGTTCTAGACCAGCCTGACCAACATGAGAGGCCCTGTCTCTAGTAAAAATACAAAAAATTAGCTGGGCATGGTGGCACATGCCTGTAATCAGCTACTCGGGAGGCTGAGGCAGGAGAATAGCTTGAAAGCGGGAGGCGGAGGTTGTGGTGAGCCGAAATTGTGCCACTGCACTCCAGCCTGGGCAACAAGAGTGAAACTCTGTCTCAAAAAAAAAAAAGTGTATTATTGGGTTTTTCTAAGAGGCATACTGATAATCTCTGTCTTTTAACTGGAAAGTTTAGATTACTTTTACTAACTATGACTTGGATATGTTTCTACATTGTTATTTTGTACTACTTACACTATTTGGAGTTTACTTTCCTTTCCTGCCTTTCATTGTAATGATCATAACTTTGTTACTCACTTTCCCCCTCTACCTCTTCTGAAGTTACACATTCTTCTTATAGTTTTCTTAAAATATTTACAAGTAAACTTTACTTACTCTATGTTTCTTCTGAACAATAAATGGATCTTATTAGAATGGTTTAATTCTTTATCCCCTTTCTTCTTTCATATTATTGCTATCCAGATTTGGCTCCATTTAATTTTAATAATGTCAATCAGCCACTGTTAAGATGATAACTTTCCCATCAAGTCCATGTTTTAGGATACAAGAGGATAATTTTTTCTTATCAGTCCTTCTTATATATCATACTTCCCCTTGTAGTTTCAATTTTCTTCTTTCTTGCTCTTTTATGTCACCCCAACCAATTGCCTCCAATCCAAGGTCACCACATTAATGGGAAAATGAACTAGGGACTTCTTACTTTCTTAGCAACTAGGTTTTCCATTTAAAAGATGATTGTCTTATTTTATCCAGCATTTCTACATATTTAGTATTTTAAGTCATCTAGCCTAACACATTGTTGAAAGCGGAATTCAAAACAAAGAAAATTAGTAGAAGGATGATGTCAATTCAAATCTGAAATATGAATGACTTAATTCTGTTACTGTTTTGATTAAGAATAGGTTCTATGAATCTATATCGTGGATTACACAACCAGCAAACTTTCTGTAAAGGGCCAGATGGTAAATATTTTAAGCTTTGCAGGCCGCATTTGGTGCCTATAGCATATTCATCTTTTCCCTTTTTACAACCCTTTGAAAATGGAAAAAAAAAAAAAAAATTCTAAACTGTCACACAGTATAAAAACAGGCCAAAGGCCCAATTTGGCATGCAAGCAGGCCATAGTTAGCTGATCCTTATATTCAATAAGCATACAGAAGTGGGTGGGTGCTTTCTATTTCAGAAGCCACTGTGATGAACTGCAGGAAAGCACAGATGAATGCGTCAGTGCTGCCCACTCATACACGAGAGGCCACCTCAATCAAGCCCGATAAACTGAACCACAACCCACAGCCTACCAACTGACTCCATATCAAACTGCAGAAAAAAAAGGGTGACCCTCACTGGAAGGGTCCACATCAAGCCCTCTTTATCATCAGCACCATTACAAAGTGTTAAAGCCTTCAATTTACATTCATATTTCCCACTGAAAAAAACTTAATACTGTCACCACTTATGCTGACATCAACATAAACGGAGTTTATTTTCCTTTCCTGCCTTCCATGGTAATGATCATAATTTTATTACTCAGTTTCCCCCCTACCTCTTCTGAAGTTACACGTTCTCCTTATACTCTTTAAAATTATTTTTCTAAAAATAATAACAAGAAAACTTGATGAATTGTTTCTTTTGAACAATAAATGACATGTTGACATGTCATCAACATCAACATAAGTGGTGACAGAATTGTTTTTTCCGATATGAATGTAAAATTGAACTTTTTATTAAGTTTTTTTAAGCTCTTAACAAACTTCTAAACTCCAGAATTCCAGCCTTGTCCAACCTGCTAGGCTCACTACTTTAAGACACCGACTCTTTAACTACACATTTGCTGAGGAAACTCTGTTCTTCCAGGTGGCTAACTGTAACATCTCCCCACAGCCTCCTGGGTATTGAGAATCTTCACCTTCTCCATATACAACTAGCTCAGCTTTGGCCATCTGCAAAGGAATTGAGGTGTGCAGCTCCTAGGAGGAGTGGCTGTATGGCAATATCTCCTCTCCTAAGTAGGATGGGCCCATGGAATGAAATGTTCTGAGAGTGGTCTATGCTCAGTGACAGACACTAACCTTGAGATTGCTGGAACAAACTACTTATTCCTTCTGGTCTCGACATAATCCTTAGCTGCCGAGACAGTGCAGAGAGAACTTGTTCCTTTTGAGGAGTGAAGACTTTGCCTTTTAAATGAACTGTGAAATTGTGGAATACTTCCTTACTTGGTTTTCTCTCCTGGCTGTTGATTTTAGCAGCTGTTGCTGATTGCAATCTTGACTGGCACTCTTACCCTGTATGAACTAAGAAATAACCTACCCACTGAACAAAGCCCCCCCTAAGCACATACAGCAAGGTCAAGGTTTTGTACCCCGGATTGTCCTTTAATTCTAATTTACTGGCACAAAGCAAGAGTTTTTATCATCCTGATTCCAAATAATGCTACTTCTAAATAATATGCCCTGCTCTAGGAGACTGCACAGGACAATGATTCAAATTTGATGTTTGTTATTAAGGCATACAATTATGGCAATACATCAGACTGTTGGGTAGTAAGATCAAGACAATTTCCCTTTGTCTTTTAAATGAACTGTGAAATTCCCTTCAAATTAGAAAATGGAGAAAAGTAAATTATACAAGGTGTTTTGCTATTGCTTAAAATAGTCCTTGGCTTATATGTATTCTTAATGCTGATAAAATGTTACATAGCTCTTTTGAATTTTTTAAGATATAATTTACCTAGCCAAGAATTAAGACAAATAGTATAGCATGAATTTTTTTTTTTTAATTAGGGTTGGAGGAAATATATCTGTAGTGAAAATATGTGAAGCAAACTATAGAACAACCTAAGGGAAAAGTAATTGATGGAACTTCTGATGTAAGGGGATGACAGAAAGATATGGAAAATATACACTCCATCATTGACACCCCTACATATGCCATGCAAAAGGCCCTAGACAAGTCTGACCAAGACATGCAAGGGAATTAAGGAGATTTACAAGAGTGGGGCTTTCCCCAAAATGTCACTGTTTAGCTGGAAAGCTTACAACAGTCAACTGCAAAGTGTTCTCAAGAAAAACATGTCAAAACTGTTTTCTTCCATTGCTAAGAGAATATAATCTTTTCACTATATAAAAACTGTGAGTTCTGTTGCTGGGGGTAGAGAGAATATTCAGACCTTCTGTGCCTGAACTTTCTTACCCAACAATTCCCAGAATGCTAGCAAGAAAGATTCTCCAGCAGACCTCTGATTTCTTCCACAATTCCATACTCATCTGGAACTAATAAAATCACAATCCAGACCAGGTGCGGTGGCTCATGCCTATAATCCCAGCACTTCGGGAGGCTGAGGTGGGTGGATCACCTGAGGTCAAGCGTTGGAGATCAGCCTGGCCAACATGGTGAAACCTCATCTCTACTAAAAAATAAAAAAAAAAAATTAGGCAGGTATGGTGGCACACACCTGTAATGCCAGCTATTTGGGATGCTGAGGCAGAAGAATTGCTTGAACCCAGGAGGCAGAAGTTGCAGTGAGCCGAGATTGCACCACTGCACTCCAGCCTGGGCAACAGAGCGACACTCTGTCTCCAAAAGAAAAAGAAAAAAAAAAGAAAAGAAAATTCAAATAGCATTAGCAGGCTATTCCCTGATCCTACGTGACAGCTGTCACCAGACTTTTGAAGAGATATGAATTAAGATTACACAGACTAAAGAATAAATGTTAGTAACTAAGCTTCGCTTTGGAGTCATTTCTTTTCTATTAAATCTATGTGAAGCCAATCTCCTATAAAACAATAACCCAACTCTCCTTAGGCATTGTGACATTTGTCACAACATCTTTGATATTTATTGCATAGGTAATATACACTTTATGCTTTCAAAGGGCTACTACACAGCAGGCACTCCATAAAGCCTGGTAAATGATTACAAGTTATAAACAAATGTATGCTTTTCTGCACAGTTTCCATGCAGAGTAAAGACAGTTCTATCCTCACCTTTCTAAAAGTATGGCAGATACATACCTGTCCTCTTTATTGACTTGAGAATAATATGATCTCTGTCTGATTGCAGAATAGAAGGAAAAAGCCTCATTCAGATAGCTGGTTTCTGATGTGCGTAAGCTATGAGAAAAAATATATTTTTAAATATGACAGTGTCAGAGATTCTTCACCATGATAAATACTTCTTCTATACTACTATATTCCTCTATGTCTGGGGGCGGGTGGAAATGACTGTCCTAAATTTGAATCAGCAAGGCAATCATCATATCACCCTTAAAATGTATAAAAAATAATAATGAAAATTTTTGAAAAATGACCTCACTGAAAGCAAGCATTTTTTGATGCCAACCCATATTATACATTATCCTCATTCTTTGAAGGGACTCTCCAAACAGCATTCCATCAGTGAAATCCTTCTCTCCCAGGACCAGGCCAATTCACTTTCTCAAATCCATACAGTCCTTTGGCCCATTTCTTTATTTTTTGTTTTTTTCTCACAGAACTGAGGAATGCACTAATCCATATTCATCTTCAGGGGATGTTAATAAATTATGTTTTACAAGAGACTTTTTAAGAAAATATTTCTACCTGAGAAAACAGTTCTAGTTTTACAAGGGACTTTTTAAGAAAATATTCTACCCAAGAAAGTAATTTTAATGGTAGGAATTTGGGATGGTATGCCAAAATACAGGAAATGGAAGAAGTTTTATTTTTTTTTTTTTATTTTCTTTTCTTTTTATAAAATTTTTTATTTTTTGAGACAGAGTTTCACTCTTGTTACCCAGGCTGGAATGTCAATGGCATGATCTTGGCTCACTATAACCTCTGCCTCCCAGGTTCAAGCAATTCTCTGGCCTCAGCCTCCCAAGTAGCTGGGATTATAGGCACCCGCCACCACACCCAGCTAATTTTTTTGTATTTTTAGTAGAGAAGGGGTTTCACCATATTGGCCAGGCTTGTCTCAAACTCCTAATCTCAAGTGATCCACCTGCCTCAGGCTCCCAAAGTGCTAGGATTACAGACATAAGCCACCATGCCTGGTTGTTTTATTGCCTTTTAGATTAAAAATTGTCCATGCGTTTTTCATTGTATAGCTGCTATCATGTCAGGTTAATGAGTTTTAGATTCTTAAAAGGACCTCTCTTGCTTTCTGAACTCAGGGGTGGGACTATGTAGATGTTATTGCTCTAAGGATATAATAAAAATACCCTTATTTATCTCATGTAAGCTTTCAAACATATCCTGAAAGTATAAGTTTTTTAAACTTTCCTTCTGAAAATTATTCATTCATACATACAAATTATAATATAATGCTGCACAGTATTAAGACAAGTGAAGCTGTAAGAACAATAAATCCTTTAGTATTAATCATTTATCTAAGACCAAGATCAAATTTTTAAGTTATAAATGAGTCTGACCAAATGAAGTGTTTGGAAGGCATGCCTTTAAAACAAATAGTACTTTAATTATGGAAGGTTATTGCATGACATTGTCTTGATCAATCTGGTCCAAACTACTAGGGTTTCATTTGTAACTCACCATTTTCACACCCAGCAATGAGTACACTATATATATATTTCTGTATGCTGTGTTTTAATCAGACAACACTTTATTCTTTCCATGTGTAATTTACTTACTAATAATGGTAGTATAGCTGCCCAATCTTGGAAGCAATTTCTCCTATTTGCCAGCGCTTCAAGCCATACCGATTATCCAAGACTTGTCTAGTTTATATAGGATACAAGAAAATAGAAATAAGGGTCTGTACATTCCAAAGACAATCAAATCTGTAAATTAAATAGGATAAAATACCATTGAACTCAGCAAAGCTAATACATTTTTCATGAGATTTCAATGTAGTCATTCCATTAAATTCAAAAAGCATTTATTAAATGTCTATTTATAAGTTGAAATATAAAAAGAAACTACTTTAGCCAGTAAACAACACATATTTTCGAATGAAATAATAAATCATCCTTCCTATACTCTAGCTCATCTGAACCATTCCACATATAATATTGTTTTTAAAAAAATCAAACAAGAACATTATTTTTTTTTGAGATGGAGTCTGGCTCTGTTGCCCAGGCTGGAGTGCAGTGGCATGATCTTGGCTCCCTGCAACCTCCACCTAGTGGTTCAAGCGATTTTCCTGCCTCAGCCTCCCGAGTAGCTGGGATTATATGTGTGCACCACCACATATTTTTAGTAGGGATGGGGTTTGGTCATGTTAGCCAGGGTGGGCTTGAACTCCTGACCTCAAGTGATCCACCCACCTCAGTCTCCTAAAGTGCTGGGATTACAATTGTGAGTCACTGTACCCAGGCTTATTTTATTATTTATTTTTATCTTTTTTTTTTTTTTTTTTTTTTTTTTGAGACAGAGTCTCTCTCTGTTGTCCAGACTGGAGTGCAGTGGTGCAATCTCAGCTCAGTGCACTGGCTAATTTTCGTGTATTTTGTAGAGATAAGATTTACCATGCTGCCAGGCTGGTCTCAAACTCCTGAGGTCAAACAATCCCCCCAACTTGGCTTACCAAAGTGCTAGGATTAAGGCATAAGCCACCATGCCTAGTCACACATTTTAAAATCTTAAATAAGTAGAAAATAAATAAATTTGTTTTCATTTGGATTATGAAGATGAAATATGTAATTTTAAAAGCACCAAGATTTACCTTTGCTTTCTTGGTGGAAAAAAAGAAAAAGCACCAAGATAAAAAGCACTGAAGTAGTAAAGACAAAAACTGTGGCTAACAGAAAACAGGCCTTCACTCTTCTTTAACTATAAAATTCATTTACCGATGTTGCTGCTGGAACTTCCAGAGTTTGGTGTAAACATCAAAAGTTCTTCCAAAATAGGACTGCCACTGCTTCTGTCCATATTGTGGCAAATCTCTGTAATAATAAATGAGTGTGTATTAATTTTAAACTTCTTATGCTATTTGAAAATTACGTCTTGTGATCAACCCAGATAGATGTAAAATGCTTGCATTCAGGCTTTCTTTTAAAACCAAAGTTACACTGCGGAGCAGAAATAATTCTACAACTAGGGTCCAGGACATGTTCTTTTCCTGTTCTCCTCCCTACTTCTGACAGGTTGTTCTTAGTGTTCTTTGCAGATGCCTCTCCCATGAGGTTTCTAGCACTCTCTTCCCTCACCCTGGGTGATCTTATTCACACTCACTTATATACTGACAACTTTCAAATGTTTACCTTCAGCTAAGAACTCAGCTGAATGTTTGAAAAACACTGCTTTAGAAAATATACCTAGAAATGGATATGCAGATGGTATTACTGTTCTACACTATTCTATCCCCTCCCTATAAGGGAACTATATATCCCTGTCTTTGAACCTGGTGACTTATAGTACAATCTTTGAGAGACAAATACTCCCTACCATACAAACACTGGGCCTGGCCATAGTAACTTACTTTGGCCAATGAAATATAATTGTTATTTATACCGTATCTTAGGATAAGATTAAGAGCACTGAGTGGTTCAGCATTTTCAGTTTTCCCTCTGACCTAAGACAAAGATAGCGCTGTTCTTCAGCCTGGAACACAGAGTAAGGCACATTTAACAGAGCTGCAAAACCTAGACAACTTGTAGCTAACATGGGAGCTAGAAATAAATCTCTATTGTAGGAAGGCACTATAATTTGAGGGTTGCTACAGCAGCCTTACTTAGGAAAAGCTAGTCCAGAAATTGGTAACAGGAGTCGATTATTGCCGTAACAAACATGGAACATATGTGACACTTGCAATGGCGACTAAGTAGCAAGTCTGGAAACAATGATCTATATAATGCAGTCATAACACTGTATTTGCCTGAGAAAACCTAGAGAGTAGATAATATGATTAATCAACTGGTTGATTTATGCAAAGAGGTTGGGAAACAGTATGTTGCTAGCCCTGGATGCTATTAGCTATGCTTAAAACACTACAAAAAAAAAAAAGATGAACTCAGAAAAGAATTAATTGCATTAAAAGAATACAAGCAGAGTTGACAAGAAAGAGAAAATTCACAAATTCAAGGACTTACAAGATTGAAAGATACAACAATTACTAATATTTAACTGTAAAAGATACAATTGAGAAATGCTATCCATAACAGCCTCATCTTCCAGGGCAAAACTTCTTTTTATTTTTTTTTTGAGACGGAGTCTCACTCTGTCACCTGGCTAGAGTACAGTGGCGTGACCTTGGCTTACTGCAACCTCTTCCTCCGGGTTCAAGTGATTCTCCAACCTCAGCCTCCCAAGTAGCTGGGATTACAGGCATGCACCACCACGCCCAGCTAATTTTTGTATTTTTAGTAGAGACAGGGTTTCACCATGTTGGCCAGGATGGTCTCAATCTCCTGACCTCGTGATCTACCCACCTTGGCTTCCCAAAGTACTGGGATTACAGGTTTAAGCCACCACACCGGCCTCCAGGGCAAAACTACTTTATTAAAGTCTGTGAACAGATGAAGATGGCCCCAAGTACCTTTTTTCAGTGGAACAAAATAAATTCAGGAAAGGAATTTAAGAATCTGGCTGTCTTATAGAAACCTGATAAACTCAAGTTATCTCTAATAAATTCCAGAAGATGGACATGTCTCAAAGAATTAGGGGTATGGCTATTGGTACATGGAGCTAATTTGAATCAAATTATTATTATTTTTTAATTGCATTTTAGGTTTGGGGGTACATGTGAAGAACATGCAAGATTGTTGCATAGGTACACACATGGCAGTGTGATTTGCTGCCTTCCTCCCCATCACCTATATCTGGCATTTCTCCCCATGCTATCTCTCCCCAACGCCCCACCCCCATCAAATTATAGAGTCAACTACATTTCACAAGATTTGTTCTATTGAAGTCACCTTTTTTAAAAAATAAAGGAGCAATAAATTCATTGTCTATAGTGTGGTTAATTTCTTATCCTAGTTTATGACTTGCCATCTCATTTTTCTTCATTGTGTTTTTATTATGAGTAGTTTTCAAATGTATGGATCTTTCTTTGTATGGTTAGTGCTTTTTCTGTATTCTTAAAGAAACTCATCCACAAAATAGTATTATCTTCTGCAAGATTTAAAGTTTTGATCTTCAAATTTAACTCTTTAATGTACCCAAATTGAGTTTCAGATATGTATAACAAACTATGTCTGAACGATTTTTTAAAAATATATATCTTTTTTGATGACAGAACTGGAGCTGTCATAAATTTTCCGCTAAGCTCATTTTTCAGCTCTTTGTTCCATAACGAGGCTTTTCTGTTTCGTCATTAACATTCTGTTAATTATGATAGCCTTAATAAGTCTAGCATATTTCCTCTTTATCAGGAGCGCCTTGGCTATTCTTGTTTCCTGTACTTACATATGAATATAAATTTTAAACTCAGCTGCAAACTTAAACACACACACACACACACACACACACACACACACACACACACGCCTTAATGGCTTCTAGTGGTAACTGAATAAATCTAGAAATCAATTTGGAAAATTTGTATTTTTTCTAATTTTGTCAATAGCATTTCTTTCCATTTATGGTAAAAACACTGTCATTAAACACATTTATAACTTTTTCCATAAAAGTCTTATATTTCTTGGTTCATACTACTGTAAGGTCTCATATTTTCCTTGTTTTTGTGAAAGATATCTCTACTTTTTAAGTTCTATCTTTTATTTTATTTTATTTTTTTGAGACAGAAGCTCATTCTGTCACCCAGGCTGGAGTGCAGCGGTGCGGTCTCGACTCACTGAAACCTCTGCCTCCTGGGTTCAAGCAACTCTCCCACATCAGCCTTCTGAGTAGCTGGGATTACGGGTGCCCGCCACCACACCCGGCTAATTTTTGCATTTTTAGTAGAGGTGGGGTTTCATTATGTTGGTCAGGCTGGTCTCAAACTCCTGAACTCATGATCTGCCCACCTCGGCCTCCCAAAGTGCTGAGATTACAAGCGTGAGCCACCACTCCCGGCCTTATTTTTTTTATGACGGAAAATTTCAAACATATATAAAAGTAGAGCAAACAGTACAATGACACCTAGGTACTACCAGCAGATTCAAAGATTATCAATTGCCAAGTAAAATACATGTTTTTGTTTCTGAGCCCCCTACTCCTTTCCTTAAGTTTATCTGTCCACCTTTGTGCTAATTCCACTCTGTCTAAATCAGTACTGCTATAACCACCACAAGCACTATTTTCAATTAAGAAAAGAAGTACAGGCTGTATTTATATCGATCCCTATAACTAAAATGTCTACAAAAATATTTAAAACAGAGAAAACACTCAAATATTTAGTAGTAAAATGAATCATGTTTTAAACATAGATTTCCTTACTTAAGCTTAACTTCCCTCAATTATACAAGGAAATCTATTATTTAGTTCACATAACTAAATAAGCTGAATGTTCTTGGTAAACCATACAACCTTATAGAAATTTGAGGTGAGGCAAGCCACGGTGGCTCACGTCTGTAATCCCAGCACTTTGGGAGGCTGAGGTGGGCAGATCACCTGAGGCCAGGAGTTGAAGACCAGCCTGACCAACATGGTGAGACCCCATCTCTATTAAAAATACAAAAATTAGCCAGGCGTGGTTGTGCACGCTTGTAGTCTTGGGGGTTGAGGTAGGATGACTGCTGCAGCCAAGGAAGTCGAGGCTGCAATGAGTCATCATTGCACCACTGCACTCCAGCTTGGGCAACAAAGGGAGTATCTGTCTTAAAAATAAATAAATAAAATAAAATGAATAATGGGAAAACCGAGATTAGTGGTAATGTAAATTCAGAGGGTATGGTGAGGATTAGACAGTATATGTGAATTATCTGAAACAGGCCTGGCATATAGTAAGCACTCATAAATGTTAGTTGCGATTATTATTCTTATTAGGGCTACTATTTCTATGCAGCAGGGAAAAAAGCAGCTTTTAGGTAAATGAAATCTTCATTTATTGTGGCAGGATATCAAAGGAGAATGCACAAATTGATAAACCAAGAAAGAGTGATAAAAGTATATAGGCTTGAGAAATGGAAGTAAACACCAGGAAAACTAAAATTAGAAATAGTCAAAAGTGATTGCAGGCCAGGCATGGTGGCTCACGCCTGTAATCCCAGAACTTTGGGAGGCCAAGGTGGACAGATTATGAGGTCAGGAGATTGAAAACAACCTGGCAAACATGGTAAAATCCCATCTCTGCTAAAAATACAAAAATTAGCTAGGTGTGGTGGCACATGCCTGTGATCCCAACTACTTGGGAGGCTGAGGCAGG